AGAGTGGGGAGCAGAACAGGCAATCTACTGAAATAAACTGCTGAGGGGAGCAGCGGGCGGGTCGGAGAGGTCTGCCACGCCATGTGGGTCACCTCCCTGGCCAGGGATCGAACTCGTGCTGCTGTGACTTCTGAGAGCCTCATAGAGTGGTGCTGTAACCTATTGCACCACGAGGGAGAGCCCAGACCTCACGCCCTTTTACTTGACATATTTCACGGCCCTTCCTGACTTGACAAACACCTTTGTACAATTATCAGAATCAGCAGCTACGACGTTGACCTGATGCTCCTATCTAAGAAATAGTTTATTTTCATATTTTCCTAAAATTTGCCCTTCACAGCTATTTTTCCTTTAACATATGATCCCCACTTGTCACGGCTCTTACTTTGCTTTAATCTGGAACAGTGTCTGGGTCTAGCTTTTCTGTTGTGATATTAACATTTTGGAGACTATGGGACACTTGTTTTCTAGAATAACTTTCAATGTAGATTTGTCTGTCACTCCCCCTTGACTATATTTGAGATGTGCTCATCTGTCAAGGGTATCACAAAAATGGTATTTTGGGGACACTGTCAGGAGGCCCATGATAGCTGCCCAGTATAGGGGAGAAAACATTTTAAATCTCTGCATACTGCTTTAAGTGAAAAATGTATTCCATACTCCTCACCAATATAACCACTGATGGTTACTTTTAAACATGTTTTTTAAAGCTTTTTTACAATGCAACAATACTCAGTACTTGAAATTGTGAGATCAGACATACTTAATTCATGTAAAAGCTTTTCTTCTGTTTTTCAGTTGAAACCTCCAAACATTTAAAATTTAGTAATTCCACAGAGGTTATTTTCCCTGAACTAGAGAGTATTGTTCAAAAGAAATTTAGATCATATTCTGCCACGTAGACACTATGGGCCTTGACAGATGACTCCTTTTTTTAATGACAAATAATTTCAAGTAATTTGGAGGGGGAGGAATCATCTTACATCTTGCCTTACTTTTATTTTTTCAATAAATTCTCAGCTCCCATCTTTAGATAAACACATCAACAGTGTTAATGATATTCTTCGGACAGATTTGTCTGGCCTGGTTCAAAAGGTATGTTTCTTTTTTCTTTTGAAAAAATACAGTAGCTTATTTTATATCATTTTAAAGAGTACATTAGCATGTCATAGGTGAGAGCAAAATAAATAAATAAATAAATAAATAAAGCAGTACCATTCTGGGGAGGGATTGCCAAGTAATTTTGTTCATCACTTCAATGTAAAAAGTATTTATTCAGCATATCTTATGTGTAAAGCACCATGCTTGACCAGGAGACATAAAAGAAAATCACGATTTCACACTCCTGGTGCTCAGATCTGAAGGTGCAGTGCTGATGGTGCCACTGGTGCTCTCCTGCTCACCCTCGAGTCGGCCATGTTGGGTTGGTCTCTCCCCACTTCCATGAATTTGCGCATGACAGGTGCTGTGCCTGGCGCGCTCACGCTCCTTTGCCTGGCTACTTGGATAAGCATCTACTGGCCGCTTGGACCTTAAATCCCCCCAAAGGACGGGACCACATAAGTATTTAGCACTGTCATTGCTCCAGCAACCTATAAATTATTGCTGTTCAGCCAATAAATTGCAAACACAGTAATATTTCTTTTTAAATTGTGAGTCAGTGAGAGCACCGTACGGGAAAGGGAGAGAAAAGTTTATTCTTCTCTTTTCACCTGGATATACAAGAGTCATCCAATACCCATTAAACACTCACTCACATGTGCTGACAAAGTTTACACCCCCCTTCAACAAGCCCTTAGAAACTCTCTGCCTTTGCCGAGGGGGTCAGCTTGTTGCAGCTACATGCAGGAACTGACCCAGGACACCAGCCCCCTAGTAGCGATGAGACCTCTTAGAATGGCCTTTCTTCTTCAATGACATTAGAGCTTGAGTTTTAGTTTCAACAGTACTGGAAAGTAAGACTAATTTTTGAGAATCACTTTATAGCTGCACATGGTACCGTACAACTCAAGGATTCTTCAACTCACCCCTACTGGCACCCTGGACTGGGTGATTTTTTTTGTTGTGAGGGTTGTCCGCATTTTAGGACTTTTACGAACCTAACCACACAATGCCAGCAGTACCCCCACAATTGCAATAACCAAAATGTCAGCAGATGTTGCACACTGTCCCCCAGGGACAAAATCTCTCCAGCTGAGAAACTGGTAAATACCTATAAGCTTGCAACATGTGTTAAAAGTTAAAGATTTAAAAAACTTTTAATATGGTCTTCGATGTACACATTTTACAGAAAATCCTCTCTAAGGAGAGTCAGTTCTAGACATTTTTTTTTTTAATGAGGTAGAGAAATTCCTCAATCTGCCATCTTTTTAAAAAATTTTATAATAGTTTATTTTTACATATTTTTGTGCATTTTTCCATCTCAGTTGCAATCCCCTTGGAGTTCTAAACTTTTAAGGTGATCATTTTAACCTTAACATACATGGCGCATTTTAATGTTGCTTCTCTAGTACTAAGTACTAAATATAGTACTAAGTACTATTCATTTTGCAGTACTAAGCTGCAAAATGAATACAAGTTAACTACTCTATTTCCTGTGAACATCAATTTATTTTGAAATATTTTCAGGCCAAAAAATCCTTTGATGATATACCTGAGATGGTGCAACAGCAAACCATGGACATCATATCAGGTGAGACTCATAGTTTGAAGGGATTTTGTACCTTTCTTTGGGAAGAATCGGATGCTCAGTACAAAGCAATGTTCTGTTTACAATTGTATTCCTTTTCCTCTTAAAACATTCTCTTACTATTATAAAATCTTGAAAACTATAGATATCGGAGCTTTTCAGTTGTGCTATCTTCATGCATTGATATTGGCTTTTTTTTTTAAGATTTATTTATTTATGGATACAGAACTGGGTACAGGTCAGAGGTTCAGGGATGGTGAGAGGATTCACCACACACAGAGTGGGGAGCAGAACAGGCAGATGGACGAAGTACACTGCTGAGGGGAGCAGCGGGCGGGCCAGGAGAGGTCTGCCACACCATGTGGTCACCTCCGGGGCAGGCGGGAATCGAACTCATGCGGAAGTGGCTTTAGCTTCTTAGTGCTGTGCTTTAACCCGCTGCGCCACCAGGGAGGGCCCGATATTGGCTTTTTAAAAAATAACAGTCACACTATTATTGAGCAGTTACTGACACCCCATGCTGGTGGGAGCCCCACAGTTGAGGGCCCTGCAGTGACGACGAGCGCTCTGACTGGTCAACAGCAGCCACGGTCACATCCTGGTGGTTTTGCCGTGGGGCGAGGATGGGGGGAGTTTATTATTACATTTTCAAAATTAACTTAAATTTATTTTTAGAGGAATGCTATGTTAAGGATCGGTTATTTCATTTGACATCTGGTGCTGATACTGCGTTTTAGTCACATGAGGTTGCTTGCAATTTTGTAGACAGAACTGATGTTGAGAGAATCCCACTGGTCTTAGTTGACTGAATCATGTTGCATGCGGGGGATGAAAGTAGAGAATGAATGTCGTATGAACAATCTGTAGCAGGAATGGCGGTGGAACTGGGTTATTCACTAAAAGAAGAAATCTCTGAAGCTAGAAGATTTTTTTTTTAAATCTCTGCTACTTTTTTATTTACTGACCATGAAATTTTAAAATATCATGCTCAAGGTATTTAATTTTCTTTCCCTAATGGTGTTCATTGAACCCCTTCAGCATATGGGTGAATATATTTGATCTTCCACACGGTGCTGTGGGTGGTTTTTGAGTTTCCCTTTGTTGAACCTAAGATTATGCATTTAAAAAGTTAGAATAGCCAGGACGAGAGTTATGCTGCCCTATGCTAGCCTCTGAAGGCGGTCACGCGCTGTGTGTCCGGTAGCCACCTGCTTACTAATCTGTGTCTACTCTTTTTTGTCTCCCCTTTGGACTCTTCTGCCAATACGTGCAGCCCCTTGTAAGTCTGGCCAAGCGAGATGTGAAGTGGGCATGAGTGAGGCTCTCCGGGCAGTGTCATTGCTTAAACCCAAGCCAGAGTTTTCCCAGGTCTGGGCCAGCAATATTCCATCAGTCCAAATATCAATAGTTCAGTTTCACGTCCTTCTAGAAGAAATAAAAGCCCCTAACTCCCATATTTGCACATCTGGCCGTACCCCGCACACACATTTTGAGCGCCTCTGGTGTGCCAGGCTCCGCTGAGCTCTGGAGATGGGTGATGCCCTGTGCCTGTCTTCCACTGAGCGCGGCCACAGGTGCCATTGATGGCTTGCTGGTGACACAGAGACACATGCAAGGGATCCACATGCGAGGGGCAGTGAAAGTGAAGAAGGGGCATCCAGAGTGAGGCGTTCAGAAGGTATTTGCAATGGGAGGACCCAGCCACAGAGAGGGTCACCACAGCTGACAAGCCAAATGTGCTGTGTGGAAGGGGGTGGTCTCCACACCACTCGTCTTTCAAAATCCCAGAAATCGCAGTGTTCGGAAAGAGGCGCCTGGAATCATCTCAGGAATCCTGGGGCCTCGGGCAAACAGAGCATCGCGGAGGCACTGAACAGCCATGGATAGCGCTGAGCTCTCAGGATCTGTCGGTTATGTGAACAACACACTGAGGAAAAGCACCCCCCACCCCATACAGCTGCATTTCAAGCCACGGAATCTGCCACCCCAGGAACACAATGCTTGTTAGAATTGCTAATCTGGTCTCTGTTGAGGCAGAGTCACCTTTCTTTCAGGCCACTGGGAAGTTCACTGGTTAGTATGTCTTTCTCAAGACATAACTGTGGGGGCTCCCTGGTGGTGCAGGGGTTAAGTCTCAGTACTATCAAGCTGTCCACAGCCACTGTGGCACGAGTTCGATCCCCAGCCAGGGAGGGACCCCTATGGCACAGCAGACCCTTCCTGTCTCCCTGCTGCTCCCCTCAGCAGTGTGTTTCACTCAATCTGCCTGTTCTGCTCCCCGCTCTGTCTCTGGAGAATCCTCTCACCTTCTGCCTCGCTGGCCTACAGCCCAGCTCTTATATGCATAAATAGATAAAATCTTAAAAAATAAAAAATCACTGTGGATAGAACTGTTTCTGGCCTGCAGGAGGGGTGGCATGGACCCCAGGGCCGGTCACCGTGGGGCAACCACTTTCCAGAAAACTGGAGTTCACCTCCTCTCTGGTCTGTGAGGCTGAGTAGTAATAAAAACTACTTGTCCCCTGAGAATATTGTCTCTTTTTGCATAAGAGACAGGAATGTGCTACTTTAATAAGTCTTGATTTATATGAGTCAAATTAAATTTCAACAAAAATGTCCCCTCAGATCACTTGAGAATCGTTGCTGGAGAATTACTGTGGTCCTGAAAGCCACTGTAGATGTGGAGGAAATACTGTATCATTAAAATATTTTTTTCCAAAAATCACCTAACAGAAGCATTACATAAACCTGAGTTTCAATTACTTTTCTAGTGCTTTCTGGAAAAATATTCTTTTTTTTTTTAAGATGTGTTTATTTATGCATACAAGAACTGGGATACAGGCTAGAGGTATGGAGACTGAGAGAACTCACCAGACACAAAGTGGGGAACAGAACAGGCAGACTGACTGAAATACACTGCAGAGGGGAGCAGCGGGCAAGACAGAAGCCATCCACCATGCCATGTGGGCCACTCCCTGGCTGGCGATCAAGCTTGTGCTGCTGTGGCTGTGGACAGCATCATGGTGCTGTACTTTCCCGCCTTTCGCCACCAAGGGAGGGCCAGGGGAAAAATTCTTATAGGCAATGACTTTAACCTCCCTGAGCTCAGGGTGACAGTAAGTGTAAGAAACCCTCCATTAGTGGAATCAGTGAGCTCTCTGTGAGGAAAAAGCCCAGCTCGTGTCATCACACATGACGCTGATTAATCTTCTGATGCCTGTTTTTGTCTTTACCGAAGTACTAGAAGAAAACTCTGGCTTGATCTCAGCACCACACCATGGAAGTCAGTGGCAGCTTGCTGTTTTGTTACATAGTTGCTTTTTGATGTCTTTGCTATGCCCATGCTTGTTGCATAGACTTTTCATGTTTTAAACACATGTGACCCCGAAAAAACTAAAGATGGTTGAAATGTTCAGTTCCAAAACAAAGTTTCTGTTTCTTTTAGGCTTAAAAATGTCTAACTGTGGCTTCTTTGCTTTCAGATGTCAAAAGTACCTTGAACTCCATCAGTTCAAACATTGACAAAATGAGTGAACAGATTCCTTTTCAGAATAAGCTGTCCATTTTCTTGGATTACATTAATCGCACTGAAACTTACATCAACCACTATTTACCCTTAGTGGAAAAATATGATATGTACAGGTGAGTCACCCCTTTGGGCTTGTTAACAAGAAGAATAAAACTTGCTATAGAATGGGATAAAAATTGGCATCATAACCAGAATAATCCTGAGAGCAAATTGTACAGAGGCCAGAACCTGATAAGGATTAATCCAAGTTTGTGTTCATTTAAAACGTTGAGTTTTTTCACTTTCAAGGTTCATAAGCTAAAACTGTAGCTTTACAGAGAAGAGTCACATGGTCCCTACACAAGATTGTGGTACAAATCCATGTAGCATTGTGGATCACAAAGAACTTGAGCCCCTCGTTTTCGGTTTTATGTCATTAGTAACCGTTAGAATCTTAGTCCTAATTATCTAAGGCAGATAACAGAATTCCAAAGCTTCAAATAATTAAGAAGGGCATGTGGATAACTCCTTTTCTTTGTCGATTTATAAAATAAATATGCAGAAGTCAGTTTTTGCAGAAGGTGCATCCTCGAACCCACTCAGTTGTAAGAGCTCAGGTAAGCTGTCATCACCCCCTGGAAATGCCCAGTGGTAGGTCTGGCTGGGGGAGGGGCCGGTGGGGGAGACCCACGGTTAAGGGAGGGGAGGCTTGCAGGACCATGGGGGTGTTGGACGCCCTCTCCCGTCCCCACCCCGACACTGCCATCACCCGGCTGGCCAAGCCCATGGAGATCCGAGCCTTGCATCCCTCATGGGCTGTTTATTATCAAGAGCACAAGACATATAATAAAAGTAACAGCAATAGCTAGCATTTAGGGGACAGTGACAGAGTGTGTCCACCCAGAGTTCTGGCACCTCAAATACTCAGACAAGCCCCGGGTTTGTGCCCGGGTACAGGGCATCTGACGATGGCATCTGACCCGGCTCTGCATGGGTGCCCTGCAGATGACAGTTCACACACACACACCCCCCAGTACCCCGTGCAGGGGTGCAGCCATCTGTGCGTATTGGGGACTCCCCCCTTTCTCAGTGAGCTCCCGTCTCCTGAGTGGCAAAAAGCGCACAGGTTTCTGTCTACCTGTCAGCACCCTCCTCCCTCCCTTCTCCCCAAGTCAGACTACAAGCTGATCTTTAAGAAGACATTTGGAGACCTGTGTTAACTGGAAAACTCTGCGGCCAGGTCCCAGGTGGCTTCATACTGTGCTGGGGGCGGGGTCTGGGATAACAGCCCCCCCCAACGCGCAGGTGGCTGTTGTAGGTATCCAGATTGCTTTTCACTGAAAGAAGAACTTGAGTGGTGGCTTTTGTACAGGCACAAATTCTGTATGTTGTGTGTTTTAAAGCTTGGGGGGCATTTCTACCTGGGCATACGCCTCAGCTGCTGGAAGTGGGGGGCATTCTGGGAATGCCAGAGGAGCCCTTCCTGGGGACACCCCCCAGGACCACCAGATCAAGATCTGCACCTGCGGGCGGTGGATTTAGGGTGCCCCTGAAATTCTGACACAGTCAGTCAGCTCACTAGCCACAAAGAGCGCTACTGCTTTGGTAAAGAACACCCTGTGGTGTCCCTCTAGCCCCCCCAGTATTCCCACAACAATATTTTAGAGAAGGGCCACAGGAAAGACCCCAACATGTCTGTATCTTTGTCTACCTGTCACCATTATTACAGAAAGCAGCACTGTAAAAAGGTCTCCTCAAAGAACTCGGGTCTCCAAGGCTGTTTTTACCAGTAGCTTTGGAATTGTGTGGAAGCTGCTGCTCAGCCCCCGGGGCCAGCACAGAGGGGAAAGGACCTGCCCCTGCACTCCAAAGCCAAGGAGGAATCAGGGCTCCTTGCCGTGGGGCTGGAGGCTGAGGCGGGAAGGGGGCTTCTCCCAGCCCGCCTGCCTCTGCCTGTCAGGCGGGCTGCAGGGCTCCGGCCCTCACACTGACCTTCCCTCAGCCTGGCGACATGGCTGTGCGTGACCCTGCGCTTGCTTCCCCAGGTGGCTGGGCGGCCTGATCATCTGCGAGGTGCTGACCATCATCGTGGTCTTTTATTGCCTGGGCTTGCTGTGTGGCACGTTGGGCTATGACCCGAAGGCCACCCCGGCCACGCGAGGCTGCGTCTCGAACACGGGCGGCCTCTTCCTCATGGTGTGAGTGTCTGCCGCCACCCTTCACCCTTCACCCTGAGCAGGGGGTCCTCCTCCCGGGAGAAACGGGCCGTGTCGCACCTGAGCTCATGAGAGAGCAGAGACTCCCGCATCCGCCAGGCCCCGTGTGCCCCCTCCTGACACCTCCCGCCTCCCTGGCGGCCAGAGGCCCTGTGTGCTCTGCTCTGCCTCTCTCTGGATGCAGAGCCACAGCGGCCTGTTCCAGGCGCTCCAGCGTACCCTTCCTGCCTCAGAAGCCCCCTGTTCACTGTGTCTCTGCCAAAAGCATGGTCCCCTCAGCTGCCCCAGCCCGTGTCTGAGTCCCGGCTCTGGGCCGCAGGGAGACCAGGCAGTAGCCCCAGCCCCGCTCGGTCCCCAGCTGAGCACTCACCCCTCAGTGCCCACTGCTGTCTCCCCAACTCCTGGGTGGCGCTTACTGCAGAGAGCCGGGACCCCCCATACACGGAGCAGGCGGAGTCTGACAGAGGTGATGCTGCTGTGTTCCTTGTTCTGAAGTTGCTTTGTTTTGTTCTCCAGTGGGGTTGGACTCAGCTTCCTCGTCTGCTGGATAATCATGGCCGTCGTGGTTTTTACCTTTATCGTTGGAGGAAACGTGCAAAAGCTGGTCTGTGAGCCTTACCAAAACAGGAAGTTATTCCAGGTACATGTGGCTTCTGAGCCTTGAGGGAAGGGCGGGAACGGACGGGCGAGTCCCCCCGAGGTGGGGACCCCATCGCTGTGGGCTTCTTCAAGAATGCAGAAAGGTAAGCAGTTTGCTAGTGGAAGTTGGGATCCTTAACTTAGAATTGAGGAGAAGCCTTCACCTTGCAGCGAGGAGAAAGCTTTTGCCTGTCTCTTCATCCCCCACCAATGGCTTTGCTGTGAGCCGCATAGTTACAGTGTTTCGGCATGTGTATTCCAGTTTCTCCTGTCTTTGTCTGACCCCTCATGACTTTCCAGCTGCTTCCTTTGCTGTTGGCAGTAATTTCGGTGCACTTATCAATACTCTCACCCAAGTTGCTTATGATTTAGTCAGAAGCTCCATCACATAGAAGTTTAGGTCTATAAAGCAGATATTCTTGCTAAGAATAAATGCATGAAATTAAAATTTTTTCGGTGAAGTTTGGTTTTTATTCAATAAGTTGAGATTCCTTTCCTTGGTCAGAGGGGGGAAAATAGAGCATATTCTCCTTTTTAGAATGTGAGGTCAGTCAACTCCAGGGGTAAAAGCCTGTCTGTTAACACGGAGGATAATAGGTTAGGAGGATTAAATTCTCAGCCAGAGCTCCCAAACTATGTGAGACGCCAGGAGATAATTCCCAAGCCCAGAGACTCCCAGAGAACAGTGTTGCCCAGGTGGGCGGTGTGAGGCCCTAAATTGTAAGTGCAAGAGGGGATCCACGCATTCCTGGCAGAGGGTTGACCCTGTGGGAAAGTCAGAGAAGCCCCTGGGAGCTGCCTTCAAGCTCCGCCACCCCCATCCCCCCCAAACACCTGCCAGACTCCAGAACAGCTCTCCACCCGGCTTCGCTCCTGAGTGAGGAAGTTTGGGTTTACACATCCGTCTTCTCACTGTGCATCCCAGAGTTTGTCTCCGGATTCTGATTATTTGAGTCTAACTCCTATTTCACTGTGATAGATTTCTACCTCAACTCTTATGAAATAGGGGGATGACAATAAGGGAAGTGAGGCTTGTCGGGGAGCTTGAATCATTCAGTCCGTTTAGGATCAATCAGTTGGAAGCATCCGTTTGTCAGATTCTCTGCATTTGGCCTCTAGATAAAAAAGGATGTGTCAAACCAGACTTCCTTACCGTCTGGATCGTGTTCAGTGGTTAGAAAGGAATTCCTAAGGTGGAGGGGTATGGCGAGACCCTCTGTGCGTCTCGGGCACGTTCGTGGTCCCACTCACAGCCCACAGCAGCCGAAGCAGATGCGTAGGGGGGAAAGAGGGAGGGAGCTTCCGTTCATTTGTCTGGAGAATAGAGGTGAAGTCAGCGCTTCCTGCTGCTCTCCTGAGCCAACTTGCCTGTTCTGTGCCCATTCTTGACGCACATTCTCCAAATAGAAGTAGTTGTGTGAAGCTGTCATGACTTACTGGAGGGGCTGACAGACCTGTTCCTTCTGTGCTGTTGTTTTCACAAGGAAAGTTACGCTGTGGAGACCCCCCGCCCCCATATTCAATAGAGTATTCATTTTATTACAGGTGCCTATGTTAGTGTAAAACTGTCTCCTTTTGAAAAAAAAAATATTTTTGATTTGTTTCAGCTTTTGGATACGCCATATTTGATAAACGAGAAATGGAAATACTATCTCTCTGGCCTGGTATTAAACAACCCAAATATTACTCTCACTTTTGAACAAGTTTACAGGTATAAATCATTGCACCGTGCTTTTTTATTCCTCCTTAAGTAGTATCATTCCAGAATGAGACTGTCACTTTCAAAGTATCTTTAATCAAATAGATAAGGCTTTTCCACTTCTACAATTAGACGCCTCTCTGGTCTTAGCAAACAGATTGTAGGAACAAGACCAAACTTCAGGCTTTCCTCTGCATGTGAGAGCTTGACGTACCTGCTGCACCTTGGGGTGGCGAGGTCTCAGGTCTGACCGGCCAGCGGTCACTGGGGCTCTCCGATGCTGTAAGGAGGCCCTGTGAAACTCTTCAGATCACACTGCCCCAAGTACATGCCGCACGACAACAGTCCACACCTGGGCACGAGTCACAGATGTGTTCGTGGTGGCCCCCAAGGCTGCATCCCCCTGGGCTCCAGTTCTGACTACCCCAGGGACTTTGAGACCTGGTAGTTCCATGTCCCCTCTATTCAGCAGTGGACATCGAATCTGACACCCAAGAGCCCCCACCACTTGTCATGGAGACAGCAAGTGAGTGGCCAATGTGGCCCCTTGCGCTCCCGTGGGTACGGGCCGTCCAGTGAGCTCTCCTCTCGGCCTGGGACCCGCAGACCAGATGGTCAGCACGTCAACCTGTGGTTCCCTGGAGAGAGCAACACACTGACTCAGGGTGTGGGCCGTTGCCTCCCAGGCAGCCCTTGGAGATCGGGGCTCAGGCTGCAGGACAAGGAAGATAAGCACAAACTGGCAGGAGACAGTCCACCCTCCTCAACTCAGTAGAGCAGGATGCTTCTTGGTGAAGCCAAGTTGAGTTTGCAGCCCAGAGCGCTTGCCCTGCCTGCAGCCCCGCCCACCTCCTTCCGCCTCCCAAGTCACCGTTATTCCCCCAGCTGTCGACTTCCCTCCGCGTGGTGCCTGTGTGAGCGACAGCCTCCAGGAAATACGGAGGCCAGTGGCCGGACAGGAGCTTGCTGGGACTTTGAATCGCGTTCTCGGTGTCCCTTGTAACCCACCTTTTTTCAGCAAGTGTGGATTTACTTTGTTTTATCTTAATGAAAATTCACTTCTTCCCAATTTTTAAATCAATGACCCCTTCATGACATTGAAAACCAGCACAAGGGAGACGAATGAGGATTTCCCAAGGCTGTTGTGTCTCTTCCCCAAGTGGACACTGCGTAGAGCAGAGAATGGCCTCAGGGGTGGTGGGTGCCCTTGGGGCTGGGTGCTGGGTGGACACCAGAAGCCACTTCTGTGTCCAGCATTGAGACAAAGACAGCTAATCTTTCTCTGTCTCTTTAGTGTGACTAGAGAGGTCATGATTCCCCTTGTTCCCCTAGTGATTGCAAAAACAATAGAGGCATTTATTCGACCTTGAAGCTGGAGAACATGTTTAACATCAGTGAGCATCTCGACATTCAGAAGGTAAGGCAGCAGAACCAGGCATGAGATCTGCACATGTCACACAAAATCCAGTTGGTCTCCAGGCTTTCTGTTAGTCAGGTGCAATGGAAGCACAAAAGTAACCATTCTGAAGTGGCCTTTAATAAGTCACCAGGCTGTGCAACCCTCACCTCTAATTCCTCTCATTTCGCTAACTCCTGGGGTGTTCCTCACCCCCAACAGTTGTCTTTCTCGGGGGATGAGTCCCTGCAGTTGTTCACACTCTGGCTCTGCAGGGCCTTGGTGGACGCCCACCAGGGAAGGGCTCCTGCTCACTCTGTTCCCAGAGGGTGTGGGTTTCCCAGGGGCGTGGCTCCCCACAACCTGCCACACTCTTCTGCCAAGTCCGAAGAAGAAGTAAGGCACCAAACACTATGATCCACGCTGTTAACATTTCTCACAAGTCGTGGTCAGGGCCCAGGGCCCAGGGCATCGGCGTGGCTGGCCCATGACAGGAGGCAGCTTGCCAAGCAGGTGGGAGCCCAAGCCCACACCGAGGCTTGAGTCTCAGGAGAGGCCACTCCAGAGCAGACCGGCCAGAGAAGGGGCAGGACCACTTCAGCTGCCCCGACCAGCCGAGGGCTCCATGAGCCTCGCCCACTCCCCTCCCTTGCCCCGGCCTCCTGAGCTATGCAGGGAAGAACCTGGGCAGCCTTCTTCCTTCTGGGCTTCCCAAGTGCAAGCAGATACCAAGGGCCACCGAGAGGAGAGAGTCGCCCAAGCCCCACGCCTGCCCGCTGAGGCCTCACGCAGGTTCCCCGTGCCGCGTTGCTGACCCTTCCCTAGGTGCGCTTTGTCTATGTGAATGATAGCCCCAGTCCAAAACAGGCGTCCCCTGCCCATTTCCGGGCGGCGCCCTGCCCCGTGTTCTCTGCACCGTGAGAGCAGGCTGGAGAGTGCCCGTCGCAGGCGCCAGCCCCGCCCCAAACTACCGCGCTCCTGGGGCAGCCCCATGTTCTGTTTCCAGGGGTGCAAGTCTCCCTACCACCCAAGGCTCGGCCCACTGGGGCCTGCTCTCTCCACAGGGCAGTGGCCTCCAGCTGGCTCAGAAGCCAAGTGCTCTGTGTCTCCCAGCACCCCACCTCGGCGCCCCGATGCAGCCCTCTTTATAACACCCTCTCTTCCCCCAGGCCCCCCGGGTGGGCCCCCACCATGCCACATGGTGGCTGGCATGGAGCGGAAGGGAGGACAGAGGCTGGGAGGGGCTGGCGAGGGCGGAGGGCATCGGGAAGAGCTGCCAGGCCAGGACAGTGGCTTTAGCCCCTGGTTCCGGTCATGTCCCACTCGGGCCCTCCCTGGTTGCGCACAGGTCAGGACGCAGTCCTGCAAGCTGGCCACAGCCAGCTCAGTGCAAGTTCAATCCCAGGCCCTGAGGTGACCCACACGCATGGCAGACCTCTCCTGACCCGCCCGCTGCTCCCTCAGCGGTGTGCTTCATCCATCTGCCTGTTCTGCTCCCCACTCTGTCTCTGGTGAATCCTTTCACCGCCTCTGGCCTGCACCCCAGCTCTGCATGCACAAATAAATACATCTTTAAAAAAATAAATAAATAAAGCGCTCACTCTATGACTTCCTTGGAGGACAGCTTGGCCTCATTTGTGACTTCTCTTTCAATCCTGCAGCATACCAGCAGCATAAGCAAGGGATTTGAAAACCTGCACATAAATGTTAACAATATCGTTCTGCTGGATGATGCAGGAAGAAAAAGCCTCAGGGATTTCAGTTCTTCAGGAGTTGACAAAATAGATTATTACTCCTACCTGGCTGAGGTACAGTGCCCCGCGGTTCGTGCTTTTCTGGAAAACTTTGAGCATCGGATACCTGTGTTTCTTTTTTGCCTGTCTGTGTTTTCGTTTGCATTTTTGGCTCTTTTTATTGCAGTGAGTTTTACATAAGATGAAATGAGCTCAAGCAAGCACCTCACCGGCATTTAGCACCGTGCTTGCACGCCTGGCCCCTCTGGCTCCCAAAGAGCGTCATCGCCCCAAAAGGCAGCCCCCCCACCCCCACCCCACACACACACACACACTATGGGCACCATCATCGCGCTCTGCTCTGTGGCTTTGCCCATTCTGGCTACTTCCTGTGGGCCTGCAGTAGGCAACCTGGCATCTCTCCTTGCCCCTGACCTTTCCTGTAGACCTTTGCGACTGTCCCGCCTTGTAACGTACCTGCACCTTATTTCGTCTTCTGGCTGGGTAGTCTGGTTGAGTGCACCAAGGAAGGCTATGGCACCACCTGACTGGGGGTGCGTTTTGTGGGGGTCAAGCACACCCTCCCACATCCGTAACATGTCTTGTTTCCCCGCCTCTCTTTCAGACGAGTAAAACCCCGACACAGGTGGATCTCTCAGCATTTGCCAATGATCTGGATGCGAAGGTCAGGACATTGGTGAGTTCACACGGAGCCGGGTGACGTGGTCAAGGGCCAGCACTGCCCCGGGAAGCTGCGGAGAAGGTGCCTGGTGCCACCGGTCACCTGGGCTCCGAGTCCCCTCCTGAGCGAGCGAGAGGCCCCCTGCAGCAGGCCTGGCCAGGACGCCAGACCCCGTGTGCCTGAGATGGCAGCTTCGGGGTGCACGAGGCTGCCCCTGATGCCACCCCCACCTTGGAGACAGAGTCCTAGCTAGCTGCATTCTCTGTAGAGCTGTGGTCACCCAGCAACCCCTACACCACCAAACACACACGCACGTGCACACACTTGCAGTGTGCAGAGGGCTGGCTGAGCGCCGGCCGGAAATCCCAGCTGGGCTTCTGACACGTAGGTAAGGGAAGGCACAGGCACCCCCATGGGCACCCCCCACGGGCCCCCCCTCAGCACCACCCATGGGTACCAGCATATTGATCTGGTTATTTGTTCTCTTTGTAGCCCCCTGGGAACTTGAAAGATTCTCTAAAAACCCACGTGCAAACTCTTAGAAACCTTCACCAGGACCAAGTCGTTCCTTTGCAACAAACCATGGTAACGATCCAGAGCCGCTGGCCGGCGGCGGTGACCTGTTGACTTTCCTTTAGCTCAAAGACGCACGTCGGCCCCGGCTAAGACACTGAGTTACCGGAAAAATGAAGGGTCGTAGCCGGGCTTGAAAGAAAACCAAACTCCTGGCTGCCGCTCTGGCGGCTCGGTGCCCTTCTCCGGCTGAGCGGCCAGGCTCAGTGTGTGCTGCCTCACACTCGCGGCTCCTCCCCACTCCACTCCCGGGGGTGTCTGGTGCGTCCTCGGCTCAGAACAGGCGGCACTGGCCTTCTGTTCAGAGCTCGCTCTTCCTTGCCTGCTCTTGTTGGCCAAACCCTGCCAAGAACTAAGTGAGTCAAGGGAAAGTCCTGCTCCTCCTCCTTGATCCTCCCAGAACCAGGGCAGCCTGTCTGCAGACAGACACGGGTTCTGTCCACACAAACCAGGGGTGAGCAAACTGCACCCCCTCCCGGAAAATAGAGAGAGCCCTGAGCTACAGTGTGCTTGCTGCCTGCTGTTGTAAATAAAGTTTTATTGGCCCCCACCCATGCTCATTTATTACGCATGACCCTTGGCTGCTTTTGGCTGCAGGGGACCTGGCCCGACAGGGTCCACAAGGCCTAAACCGCCTGCAGAGTCAGTCGGGCACTAAATAATCAAGTCTGCCAGCCCCTCAGCTAAACCCTTTCGCCTCAGTCACCCTCATGAATGCCAACACCTAGCAAAGACAATGCACAGGGTTCGGGGCCCTGGCCTGCGGCGTCCTGGCCTTTGCCACTTAGTGAACATGCCAGCTTTTGTCCGATGCGATTCTCGAGCAGAGATGTGCCATGCACACCGACCCTGCGTTGAGCCACTACAGAGCAGCACATTTCACGGCTGTTTGCCTAGCGTTGAGCCACTACAGAGCAGCACATTTCACGGCTGATCTGGGGGAAAAACAGGGACCCAAGTCTTGTGCTGTCACTGCTTCATGTTTCAAAAGTCGGAACCTATCTGTCTGCTCCCCAGGACTCTGCACACCGAAGCGTGAAGGAGCTTCAGGGAGTCACCAGTGGCTTGGAGGTAAGGACGGATTTTCTTCGCCGGCCGCAGGGTTTGTTATAAAAGCACATACATACGGGCATTCAGAGAGCCTTTTAGCCTGCAGGTGGGTTTTTCTTTTTGGAAAAAAGAAAAAGTTGCCGTTACCTGCACTACCCCACCATGCAAAGTCCAGATGGGCATAACTAGTCAGCCTGGCATCCCGTGCCAACTGGCTGACTTCTTCGTGGACGCCACGTCCACTGATGCTTGTTCTCCAGGCGAAGGTGAACACCATCCTGGCCTCTCTGGAGTCTGCGCAGGATTTCATCACAAACCGCATTTCCTCTATTATAGTGGAGGTAAGTCTTCTTTTATAAAATGATGATGCTGGCGGCAAATATGTGCATGGAACCGCCTGGTTTCACGGGCTTGGTGCGGTCATCTGCAGCCATTTTGATGGTCTTCTGCCTTGGGTCTTTGCAGGAAAGCAAGCAGTACACAGAGAGAGTAATAATAGGGTCCTTTGAACGTTACCTGCACTGGGTCAAGAACACGGTGAGTGGCCTTATCTTTTCTGAAGAGCACTGACCCGTGTGTCAGAGTAGTTGTGGTCTAGGATAAAACCAGGGGGATAGAAAATTAGATTTCTGTAATTCAGTAAGTGGCTTTGCGCGTGGGCATGCCTGGAGCCTGGCATGTGGCCTGCCCAGCTGGGGGTTCACGCCCTGGAATGTCCCCCAGCTCACCGTGCGCATCTTAGAAGCAGCCACCTCAGAGGCCACGGCGCTGCTTTGTGAGACGGGCCAGGAAAATGGCGCAGCAAGTGCTCCGGACTGGAGTTGTTGCCCACGGCGGCTGTGTTTTCATCCCCGCAGGTCACAGAGCAGATAGCATCCTGCAGACCCGTGGCCAACACCTTGGATTCTGCTGTTGACGTCTTCCTGTGTAGCTACGTGACCGACCCGGTGGTACGAATTCCGTCCTCCCAAATAGGCAGGCCCATGGTTCCCCACATTTTCTGTGTCTTATCCAAATGGTCGTCCATGCTCTAATATAAAATAATTTTCTGCTCGGGACTATTATGGTTAGCGAATCTACGACGTAAGGGCCAAAATGTGGATGGGTGCGTGTAACACCTACTCGCCTAGAAGTTTCCAAAGCACCTGCGGTGTGCAAGATGGCTTCTGTCTTCCTTCACACAGTACTGTACCGGATGAGGACGCCTGGTCCCTCTGCTCAGACGCAGAACAGGGCAAGAGGGCTTCATCAGCTGCCCTCTGAGCGCATAAAGGGACTCCAGTCCCGGGGGCTGCAGCCTCCCACGCGGGTCCCCTGGCTGCAAGGGGCGGTCACCAGCTGAGGGAGTTTGGGGGGGCGGTTGGCGGCATCACTTCTGAGGCCCTAGTGCAAACCTTTGTCTTACCACTAGGTGCCGCTGTTCCTCACTTTAAACTCACAGGCGCCACCCAAGATTTGCACTTATTATAACAGATAGACTTTGCACAGTGACTGGCCAGTCGGAAGCTCACCAGTGGTTTCACGGGCAAACAGAACTCCCCCGAAACACTGCAAACTAAAGTCATGTCCCTCCAAGCAGCTGCCGTTTTACCGTCTCACCTTCCACACTTCATTCTTCTCCTTTCTCTTTTCCTCCAGAATCTGTTCTGGTTCGGCATGGGAGCAGCGAGCATGCTTTTAATCCCGGCCCTCATTGTTGCCGTGAAGCTGGCCAAGTACTATCGTTGCATGGATTCGGAGGACGTGTATGAGGAGTAAGTGGCCAGTTTCCACAGCGGCTGTGGGACCCATTTCTTTTTCCCCTTTAAAGATTTATTTATTTGTGCATACAGAGCTGGGTACTTCACCAGAGACAGAGTAGGGCACAGAACAGGATGATCGATGAAGCACACAGCTGAGGGGGCAGCGGGCGGGGCAGGAGAGGTCTGCCGCACCGGTGGTCACCTCCGGGGCGGGGATCGAACTCGCACTGACGGGGCTGATGGGGCTGACGGGGCTGCGGTTGGCTTGCGGGCGGTTGGCTTGCGGTGCTGCGTCCTTACCCATTGCACCACCAGGGAGGGCCCTGTGGGACCCATTTCCCAGCGGTGCTAAAAAGCCATCTCCCAGGAGAGAAAGTTTAAAATTTTTAAAAGGGGGCGGGCTTGCCCATCCTGGTGTTTCCTTTGGGCGAAGTTCAGACGCTTGTTGCCTTTCCCCTCTTGCTGGGCCCCCTGGCCTCCCTGACAGCTCTTGTCTCTCCGTTGCAGCCTCTCTCCCCCTGAGACCTAGCGCCCAGCTAGCGGCTGGGCCTGGCTGGTTTGCACGGCTCTCTGCCGCCGCCTCTCTGTCTGCTCAGCTGTCTGGCTTCTCCGCTTCAGCCTCGATGCATGCCTCTCCTCAGCGTGCTTCTTCTGAATCTGGGCCCTCGGGAGCCTTACCAGAGTAAAATATGGGGGTGATGCCGTTGATGGTGATGGCAATTAAAAAAAATTGTATTTCCCTTTTTTGTATTTTGTAGTTTTGAAACCGCACCTGTGAAAATGTAAGTTTTTTTTTATCATTACCATAAAATGAGACTGGGGGGGGCTTTATGGTTATGTAAAGGCTTTTGAAATGACGTTAATAACAGCATTCACCTACAAAAGGACAGCACGCCCCGCTAAAAATAAATGCTGATGTCTCTTACAGCGAGGCTAGGGGCGGAGAGGGCTGTAGAAATAGTTGCTGAATTAGGAAATATTTCACAGAGAGCCTTGTTCAGCTACCAAATGGATGCTTTGATACTTGGTTTTTAAAGGCAACAAAAATGTAAACCGTTAGCTTCTTTGCTGATTTACCAAATTGTCACAAACCTCCGGTGAACACGCATTGCCTGTAATCCACGGTGTGGAGATTTTCTCTCAGCCATAATGTGAGCTTTTGTTTTGTTTTTTGCCTGTTTTTTTTTTTTTTTTTTTTTTTTTTTACAGTATGAAAAATAGTAATACAGATTTGCACAGGCATCACCCCAATGGGACTGTGTGAACAAAGTCTCTAAACTGTGCAAGAGTCTTCGATCCCAGCGTTGTTAAGGATGAGGTGGGAAACCCTCCCTCAGACGGTCCCAGAGCTTAGCGCCGGCCCTGGAGAAGCAGAAGCTGTGAACGACCTTCCAACTCCCGGCTGTGCCTCCACCCTGAGTCCTCGCCCTGGTGAAGGCTTCATCGGCCGCCCTGTTCATTTCCAGGCGCGTCTCTGGACGCAACCTGAGCCGGCCGCGTGCTTTCGCGGGGTGCGGGAGACGTGGTGCCAGCTAGCCGAGCGCGGCGGGTGTGTCCGCAATAAAGAATGATCAGGAGCGCGCCTCCCCTCGTCCTGGAGAGATACCCCCTCACGTCCCTGCTTCTTTTCTGAGGTGGCCGGTGCCCTGATAGGGGCTCACACCCGGGCAATGGGTTCTCCCTCAGCAGCAGGCGGGAGCCTCCCTGGAGCACATCCTGTGGGGTTGGCCCCAAGGGGGCTGTGGTGGAGTCTCTGGGGCTTGCCCCAGAGCCCACAGGTGCCGGCAGGCAAGCCTGTGCCTTCCTTGGCTTCCAGAGCCATATCCAGTCCCTTCGGTCTCCACAGGAGTGTCCATAATGGGGCTGTCCATGCCCACTGTTCTTTAGGGCCACTGAGGGAGGCCCCATCCTAAGCAAGACGCCCTCATCTTAATCTCACATCTGCCAGCGCCTATTTGGAGCAGTGGCACGTGCCAGGTGACTTGAAAATGGGGGGCATGGAGGGGTCAGCCAACCCAGTAGAGTCGCCCAGCAGAGGCAGCAAGTAGCCATAGTGGTAGGTGTGAGGGACAGCCCACTGCACGCCAGGCCTCGAATTAAATGAACCGCCTCAGAAAGGACCCAGCATGGAGGCATCGACCCTGCAAAGCGGGGCCACACCCCTCTTACTCTCGCCTGTCTTGTCACTCAGCCACGCTGTGTGCAAATGTCTCTCACCATCGACCAGCTCCCGCCCTCCGAGGACTCACCTGGGGGCATTTCTTTAAAATACTGATGTTTGGGTCCAAACCCCAGAGAGTCTGACGTGACTGTAGGGATGGGCTGCACGTGGAAGTGTTACAGGGCCTCCCCTTATCTTGTTATAGAACAAAATCTGTTACAACAGGGAGAGAGGGGCACCCCTGAAGCCCCCAAACCTGCCTGTACTAAGTGGGTTCTGCCATCCGCCGCGTCAAGACAAAACATATAACCCTTGAATGCAAAGGGACTTTAATACAGTGAATATACAATACGGAACACAGAGAATGTAACTTCTAAATCAAACACCTGAAGTGACCCATCCCCTCGTGGGCAAAAGTCAACCCAACAGGGATGGGCCCAGAGCAAGGCCTGAAAGCCGCCACGAGACTAAAGCACCTTCTGGCTGGGACCCATGGAAAAGGGTCAGAAATGGCCAGACGAGTCTGGGAGGAAAAGAGCAACATCAAAATCAACATGAACACTGCCATAGTCTCCTCCCGACAGGTCTCTCACCCACATCTGCCTTAACCAGCCCAGGGCCAGGAAACAAGCCTGGTTTCTCCCTCACATGCTCGCTGCTCCATGTGGCTTCCTCAGGTCTCCTCCTTATTCTCCATCCAGCTCCAGTCTCCTCTTCTTTTTCTCTGCTCAGCTCCACCCTCCTTCTGGGTGGGGCAGGGAACCTGCAACCTTTTCCTGGGGCCCCCCTGTTACAGAAGGTTCCACTTGCCCGGCTGGCTCTAATTTACAGGGTGGACATCCTGCCCCAGTTCAATCCTCTCAGTTCCTTGAGACACAGCAGATGGTTCTGAGGTGCAACAGGGACCCAGAACCACGAGCCCACTTTGATGAGGGCAGGACGCAGAGGCGGTGGCGGGCGGGCAGGGGAGCGAGGCTGCCGTTCATTTTCCAGGTTTCACATACACTGACCAGCAGCTGGCTCTCACCTCTGCGTCCTTCGCTAGGGCGCACGCCTCCTACGAGGACGGCGGTTTTATTCCTAATTCTCAAACTCAGCTACCTGAGCTTGGAGAGCAGGTTGCCCCTCACACAGCTTGGAGGTGTTCAGGCCATTAGAAGTGTTGGGGGCAGAGGGGTGCTGGTCCCGGTGTACCTCGGGCGAGGATGGGCGAGGACCCGCTCCTCCCGCCCTTCCCACTCTCCATGCTGCAGAGCCCACAGAGCCCCCGGGCCTGCTGACTGAGGTGCTGGGGAGCTTCTGGCCATCAGAGGGGCCCTGGCGTGCTCTCCTCAGGCTCCACCCCAGCCCTCCTGAGTCTCGGTCTCAGAGGGGGTCCTGCTCCCTTTTGTGTATGTATATTTTAATAATATAAGTTTATTTTTTAAAAGATTAATTTATTTGTGCATACAGAACTGGGGTGCAGGCCAGAGGTGCAAGGGTGGAGAGAGGATTCACCAGAGACAGGGTGGGGAGCAGAACAGGCAGATCAACGAAGTACACTGCTGAGGGGAGCAGCGGGCGGGTCAGGAGAGGTCTGCCACGCCATGTGGTCACCTCCGGGGCAGGCGGGGACCGAACTCATGCTGTAGTAGCTTTAATTTCTTAGTGCTGTGCTTTAACCCGCTGCGCCACCAGGGAGGGCCCTATAATAGTTTATTTTTACATCATTTTGTGGCTTTTTCCATCTCAATTGTAATCCCCGTGGGCTTCCCTTTTGTATATACATATATTTTTTTAAAGATTTATTTATTTGCTCATACAGAACTGGGGTACAGGCCAGAGGCTCAGGGGCGGCGAGAGGCTTCACCAGAGACAGAGTGGGGAGCAGGACAGGCAGATCAACGAAGTACACTGCTGAGGGGAGCAGCGGGCGGGTCAGGAGAGGTCTGCCACGCCATGTGGTCACCTCCGGGGCAGGCGGGGATCGAACTCATGCTGCAGTGGCTTTTGCTTCTTAGTGCAGTGCTTTAACCCGCTGCGCCACCAGGGAGGGCCCCCTTTTGTATATTTTTAACAAATTCCCATTGAGTTCAAAACACAGTAACGGTGGCCGGGAAAGAACTCAACCCATCCTAAAGGAAAAGTTCCTGTTTCGTTAGAAAGGAGCTTTTTGCCCAAGAAATGTGACTAAGTTCCTCTGAAAACCACAAGTTGTTGGAAAGCCTCTGTGCTGAAGTGACTGCTTAGAGGAATGGGGGCTGGTTCTGAGGGGCCCCTGGTCCAGCCAGCCTCGGAGGAGGTGCCTGTGACTGGAGAACTGGGGAACCCTGCGTCCCAGTTCCACAGAGGCCCCGCATCTGACCTTGTGACATTGGTTGCAAAAGTTCGTTAGTACAAGTTTCAGTGCTAAGCAAATCCTCTGAGTTGCTGCCCAGTGGTCTGTCAGCAGCTGTGTAACAGGGCATAGCCTGCAAGTGCCTTCATTTGGGTCTGTGAGTTTGTTTCCATTCCATTGCATATGTCCTGTTTACACGCTGTTTACATCAGCAGAGCCCAGGGAGGGCTGGGTGCTGGGGCCTTGGACCTTCCTCAGAGCTTGGAATTCCTAGTTGGACTCAGGAATGTGGACTTGATTGGGCTTTCATCTGGGGTAAGCCTGGGATCCAGACACCTCCACCCCAGGTTCCCTCAAGCCATACCAGTAACTCAGCAGTGAGTGAGCAGAGGCCGGACCTTTCCCCTCCAGCTACTGAGTCTTCCCTTCAAGCTTCCAGAAATTCCCTCTGCCTCTGGCTCCTGCTGTCCCTGCCCAGAGCCCCTCCAGGCCTCTCTCCAGCAAAGCGATTCCCCTGAGGTGGTCACAGCTGATCCTTGTCTCCTCCGCCCTCTGGGCTCCTCCCGGGCAGGCCTTCACCTGCATTCCAGTCAAGGACAGGGAGAGGCTGGGCCAGAGGAGGGCTTCACCTCAACACAGCATCCTCCACTGGGCAGGGCGAGGCCCGCTGCCCAAGTGGGGAGCACCCTCCCTCACCTTGGTCTCGGGGATTCCTGCCACACTTGACTGCGGCTCCCCGGGGACGCAGAGCTCCTAATTCAGGCCCCCTGCGGTTGCGTTTTGTACAGGCCCGAGCAACACAGACACTAAGTGCCTGGTTCTTAGCCAGCCAGGGGCAGCCTACCCGACAGGAATGCATTTTCTTATAAACTCCGGGGCTGCCAACCCCGGGCCAGTGTCGGCAGGGCCTTGCCTTCCAGATGCTCTTCCACCTCTTGGTCAAGTTTCCTTTTCTGTTTTTTAAAAAGATTCATTTAGTTGTGCATCCAAGAAGGGGGGTACAGGCCAGAGGTACAACCACATTGTGAGGTACTTGGATTTCGGATTTAACAATGAACTTTTGGGGGGTCGTGTGTAATCACATGGGTCTACATGAATATACCAGAGAAGGGACGGAGCCAAGTTTCCATATTGTTAAGGCAGCACAGTTGTTCCAGACCCAACTTTATGGAGAAACATAGAAACTCAGAAAAGGCCTTTTATCATCCCGGCCCCGGGCTGGCTCCCTCTCTGGATCATTGGATCATCGGATTGGGGAAGAGGCTTGTGCTGAGTTACTGAGGTTGGGGTGCCACCCAGATGGGCTGTAAAGGCTCAGGAAAACAGGGTGTTTCTGCACTGTCCTGAGCTGCTCAGATGCCCTCCGGGCGCCGCACTGTGTGAACTAAGCTACATGTAAGCAAGTCTGAGTGAAGCATGGACTTCGACAATCACTTAGCAGTATTGGTGCAATAGTGTCTTTCTAGGTAGCATAGAAACCCGGGGGCTAGCAATAGGGGGACATGGCATTGTCCCCCAAGTCTAAATCTGTTCTATTTCTTAAGTCTTAATGAAGTAAGAGCACTAGGGTGGAGAAAAGGGAGGGAGGGCTGTGAACACACAGGCAGACTGGCCAGGTGGCCAGTCTGCTGCGGCTGCCTGGCTGAGTCTCACTGGACGCTCACGAGCTCCGTGGCTGCCTTCACACACAGCCTGTCTCCCTGTCAGGGACGGTGCTTCCCCTTACACAGCCGTGAGTCAGGTTTCAGGTGTCAGGAACTTGCCTACAAGGAAACTTACTTTTTATTTGTTTGTTAAGATTTATTTATTTATGCACACAGAACTGGGGTGCAGGCCAAAGGTGCAGGGGTGGTGAGAGGACTCACCAGAGAGAGTGTGGGGAGCAGGACAGGCAGACTGATGAAGTACACTGCTGAGGGGAGCGGTGGGGAGACAGGCGAGGTCTGCTGTGCCTTGTGGGTCAGCTCTGGGCGGGGGGATCGAACCTGCACTGAAGCGGCTGCGGCCGGCTTGCAGTGTTTCGGTCTGTGCTACCAGGGTGGGCCAAATCTTACCTTTCTATGGTTTTGTTCCTACATTTGTAAGAGGGGGGTTCGTAATAGGACTC